TTAGCAAAAACAATAGCATAATTATCAAATAACTAATAGAATAAACAGTAAATCGCTCTTATATATCTCCCAAAAAATAAATTACCTGATCCTCTCGGCAAAAGATGTGTGCATCATCTTGTTGGAAACGTCGGACACGTGTTAGGCCAGTCAGAGCACCAGAAGCTTCGTTGCGATGCAGCACACCAAAATCAGCAAATCTGAGAGGTAAATCACGATGAGACCGAATTTCCTTTGCGAACATCAGACAATGTCCAGGGCAGTTCATTGGCTTCAGGGCAAACTGTTGCTTTTCAACCTCGAACTTAAACATATTATCCTAAAATACATGATCAAATGGTGTTTTTTCGACAATATCATAAGACAAATAATTTATCACAGATATATGCAGTACTCACGATAGTAAGTAGTAAATAAAGTCTGCTGTATTATGACTAATCAACCACAATGATTAACTAGGTTTCATCCTATTAAACAACCACAAGGCAGGTGATTTGATGCAACGTTATGAAAAAATATAAGCATTGACTATGAAGCATTTAATGCACCAAATATAGGTTAATTGGACGATGCGACTGGACGCTTCTAAGTTTTTAGCTAGGCAGGGGGTCACGTAAGGGGGGGGTCAAGTAAGAATATATTGTTTTCTTCCATATGGGGAATCTAAATGGAGGATGACAATATTGCAATTTCTGAAGCAATCCTTTATTAAAATTAAGGTATGTTGCTCTACGCTACAGAAATGTATACTTAATTTCACTGTGATGATTAGGATGCTAGAGCTTCAACTTATCATACCAAATTATAAGGCGAATTTCTGCGTTTAATTAAATAATATTTTGTGGAGTAGGCAATGCCAATTGTACAGAATAAGTCAAACTGTTAACATAGCAAGATGTATACTTAAATATCGGTTGAAGTGAAAGCATTTTTATGTAAATTTAATTATTTTGTGATTACAACTACTATAAACCTAATAAATGAATAAAGCAAAACATTAGCATAACTTTAACAGGCAACAACCTAGCCTAAAATAGAAAATGATTTTCTAGAATA